CTAGAGGGGAATAATTTCCTTAAGGGGACACTGTGCATTCAGTGGGCTTGATCTTCTTTCTGTTTTTCCAAATTCTGGTATGTGTTACAGATTTTAGATTTGTCAATTAATTTATGTTCTTCTGTTCTTCATTGGTTCAGTAAACTTTGGTAACTTCGTGTTTCTGCAAAGTTTATTGGAATCAGTAAGATTCTTTAAACACAGATTGACAACAATTCTTCTTTAAGAAAAAATATTTCGTATATTTTTTCTAATCTGTTTCTGATTCTAGTTTCTCTACTAGTTTTAATTTTCTAGTTGTGAAAATGTTCTTAAACTTTATTGTGTCTTACCAAGTTCTTCAAAGTTTTGTTCTAAGTATCTTAGGAATACAAGATGAACAACATTTACCTCCAACTTTGTTACATAATAATATGTAATTATTTGAAACTATAGATGAGATTAGTAGATATAGTATGGATGTTTGTCTTGTGTAGCACTAGCACAACAAAATTGCTAACAAATTTTAGATATTTCATCAACTATTTAGAGTCCAATGGGTGAATCTGATAAAGAGAACTTGTCCATGCAAAACTTATCTTAACATACAGAATTTGTACATAAAAATTGACCCTTAAAGAGAAAATTAACACGCATAAGTAGAAGAAATTATTTTTTCAAAGAGTATTCTTCTTTGATTTCTTCATATAGTGACTGCCTAGTAATTTCCATTCTCAAATTCATTATGGTTTGCAAGTCAATAAATACTTCATATACACCCTTGATTCTGCCAACAACTCATCATCAACGGCTACAAGTGCTTGTATGATATCATTAAGATTGTGACATTCCAAATAAATATAAGTCAAACGAGGCAACTACACATGCATGTATCTTCCTTGAAAACTTAAGTGCAAAGTATTCTTGGGTATATAAAGAGGTAAATCACAACTCCAACAACAACAACAAAGAAAAACATTTTTCCAATTCCATTTAGTGTTAAGCTTTTGTTAGTAAGGTTTTAAACTTTTCAAACGTCCGAGACAATGGTAAGTAATAAGTCATTTTTACATCATCGTGATAATTATATATGTTTATTAAGTAGCATATACAACATACGTATCTTATTTTCAGGATTACTTATTCGTATCTCAATGGGACTCATTTTGAATGTCATGACAATATAAAAAGTTCATTACACTAACGGTGTATATAACTTAAACTCTATTTTAATGGCTCGTTTGGTCAAATTTTTCAAGAAGCATTTGCATTCTCAATATATAACCTTCATAAAACTTGGTCATATAACATCTATATATTGCATCAGTACCTGTTGAATTGCAAATATTCAATTTGTATGATCTTATATATCTTGACGACTATTTTTTGTTGATTGTTCCTTTTCCTTTGTCCTCCGTCTCTGTTGGATCAAATATCGCGGTGTCATCAGACTTTTGCAATTGAAATTGAGGTACTACTACAGTAAATTTTCTGGCATCATTTGAATCATGACATATTATAACTGAAATTAAACTGAAAACAATGTTTTTTTGACACAGAAAAAACATGTCCAGAAATCAGAAAGGGTCAAGGCCTTGGAGATCCACCCAACAGAGCCATGGTAAAAATAAAAAAATCAATCTGCTTTTACAACAATGGGTGAATATTATAATATAACTGTGTTGTTGATCCTACAGGATTTTAGTGAGCTTGTATACAGGAACTGTACAAATATGGAATTACCAATCTCAAGTAAGCAACCTTGCATTAGCTAGAAAATTTTAATACTAGCTTATTGTTGAACTGTACAACAAGGTCGGCTATATGAATCCTGCATCATTTAAGTTCAATTGTTTCATGACCTGTCATTGATGAAAATGTGAATTGAAAATCTCTTCCTCTATCGAATAAGTACTTCGTCATTTTTTTGATTCTGCAGACTGTAGAGAAGAACTATCAAGTCTCAGAGTCACCAGGTATATATATTATGGAATAACTATTTATTCAACTCACAACTTCCTAGCATCAATCAGTCCTGGACAAGGCTTTAATAATATAAATGTTTGTTTTTCTCAGTCAGGTCAGCCAAGTTTATTGCCCGTGAAAAAAGTATTGTTGTTGGATCAGATGATCACTTCATTAGAGTATACAACTACACAACAGAGGAAAAGACTAAGGAATTCAAAGCACACGACGATTATATCAGATCATTAGCTGTTCATCCTACTCTTCCTTATGTTCTGTCAAGTTCCGATGACATGATGATAAAGCTTTGGGACTGGGAAAAAGACTGGGCTTGTACTCAGATTTTTAAGGGGCATAACCACTATGTGATGCAAGTGGCCTTCAATCCAAAAGAAAACCAGACGTTTACAAGTGTATCACTTGACTGCACAATGAAGGTATATATATTCAAATAACCACATTACTATATTGTGGTTTACTATAAGCTTTGAACTATTGATATTCACCTTTCATTTCCTTTTTAAAACAGATGTGGAATCTTAGCTCCTCTGATCCAATTCTCGAACTAGAAGCACATTCGAAGGGGATCAATTGTGTTGATTTCTTAACTTGTGATAATAAACAATATCTAATCACTGGATCAGATGATCACACAGCTAAGGTATGCTGCAAACAAAATTTCTTCCGCGAGATAATTATTTAAGTATCTGCATATTGCGTGCTGACTTATTTATGATTTTTTAGGTCTGGGACTTGCAAAATCAAACTTGTGTCCAGATTCTTGAAGGTCATAAGAACAATATTTCTGCATTGGCAATGCATCCAGAACTTCCTGCTCTTTTTACAGGGTCTGAGGATGGAACATTTAGCGTGTGGGATGCTACTAATTACAGGTAACATAGACGCTCATGCTATCACATATATTCGACATACATATCAGGATCTTGAACATGATAAAATTCATCGTAGAGATAGTACCTGATGCAACAAACATTATTACGGTAAATCAGCAAGAAGTTTCGTAGAAGAACACTCGAACTTTCTAAATGTTTTGACTCTCTCAGTTTGATTCATTATCAACAACTTGGATGTTAACAAATACAGTACAATGTGTATACTGTAAATTTGATTTATTTTGATATTTATTTCCTCGATATGTTATTAACAGCTTACTCAACACACAAATCTCTGAACTTGGGAGAATTTGGGCAATTGGATTTGCAAGCCTGGAAGGTTCTCACATGTAAGTTTCTATTTCCACAAGTAATTCTTCTATTTTCATATTTCAATTAGTACTCCGATTCTATTATCTACACACGGCTAACGTTTGATTACTTTTCCGGTTAATTTTTTCTCCTAATCAAAACTGTTGTTTTCTTTGATAGGCTCATAATTGGCTGTGATGAAGGAATGATTATCGGAAAGATTGTATGTTCAGAAACTCCTGAGGAAGATTGAGAGACAATATATATGAAGAAGCTTATGTTTTCTTTATGCTTTCTAGTTTCTGCCATTTTAATATGTTTTGATAATTACTTGTACTAGGATCTTGTGAATCCATTATGTCTATCTTGTACTTATTTTCTTGGAATTAAAGTTGATGTTGTATAAGAAGCCAAGAGTAAATAATTTCTCATAATTCGATGACATTTTGAGATATTAACTCTCTAACTAGTTCGTCAAAATATTTACTCATTTTCTAATTCCAAGAATGATGGTGAAAATAAAAGCATACACAGATAGGAAGGTCGCAAAAATTAATTTGATACATTCTCATTTTTTACCTCACAGTGTTACTACCACGAAAAAGTGTGATCTGAGCAAATTTTATGGACCCTGTTATTGTGCTATTTGGGGTTTGAACTTGGAACGCCTTCATATTCAAATGGATACTCATTACCACTTTGCCAAAAACATAGCTTTTGTAAAAAACGTCCACATTTATAGATACATCCCTTAAATGTAGAATTTGGCATATATATATAATGTAATTTTCCAACAAAGGAACACCGAGATGGCTGTTGCTACCCCCTGAGCTCGTATGGTGCCCATAGAGTACAAGTCAATCTTCTCTCATCTCAAATTTCTTAACATAATAATACCGTGTCTATGGCGGAACTTGTAGAGACTTAAAAGTTTAAGGATAAAGTTTAAACACATATTTGCTGTCAAAGTTTGGTTTCACACATTTAAGCCCAAGTGCTTTATTATGTGGCGTCCTTCATATGCTAACCATAATTGTATTGCCAAATATTAACATATATATATTCATAGTACCAATTACCAAATGATATAAAAGAGAAGAAGGAAAAAGCTACTCCAAAGCCTATTTGGATGTGTTTATTATTATAACTTTACAAGTTAGGAATTTTAATTTACATCTTTGGTTTATTTTTTAATTTAAAAATAAATTATTTGCAACAAATTTTAAACATATGGAAAATGAATTTGCCACATAAATAAAATCCTAAGAAACATGAATATTTTATTGATGATAGTGCGGGTATAATTTTGTTCCTCCCTTAATTCATGATTTGGACTTGATTTCTATAATTTGAGGGTCGTTAATGACGTATTTTTCAAACTAGGATGATTTGGACTTAATTTTCATAACTTGAATAATTCGAGGGTCGTTAGTGGCGTCTTTCCCGAACTAGGATGATTTGAACTTAATTTTCATAACTCGAGGGTCGTTAGTAGCATATTTCTCGAATTCAGATGATTTGAATTTGATATCTTTAATTATGAATATTTCAAGAATTTGTAGTGGAATTTCGAGATGACTTTTAAAATAAATATAGTACTAACATATATATAATCATGAATTAGGGTTTAGAGTTGAGTAACCTCCAAGAATTCTAATTGAAATTGAACACTTTTTGTAGAGTCTCAGTTGGACATCTCTTGTAGAGTCCCGCAAAATTGTGATTTTTTTTTTCTTTTTAGCAAAGCATGTAAATCCAAACAACTCGTAGAATGATCAAAAGGTATACCTCATAAGTGAAAAACAGCAAAAACAAAATTGGAAATTCTAATATTAACTTTTTTTTCTTTTTCGGTCAGATAATATTAACTCTTAACTACAAAGGATCATCCTCATAAAATTCCCCCTTTTGCATTCGCTTTACAGGGGTTGCGCTGTTACACGAGCTAAACCTCTAGGAGTACTAATTTTCTCTCTCTTGATCTCTCTTCGTCCTTCTCTCACTTCAACAATTGGAATTCGAAGATCTCTGCAGCTAATTCGTGCTTCAATTTGATCTCACTCGAATCTCTACCGCTACTTCAATCACTGATTCGGTTCCTCTTTCGGAGAGTTCTCATATTCATCGCTGAAAATGGTGAGTCTGTTAGTTTCAATCTGTTCAACATTACGTTACGGCTTAGATCTGATTCAAATCGGATTCGGTTTGGTTGCGGTAACTGATCACCGTCTCCAGGATAACACAATTCTGTCTCGTATTCATGAGTTTTGAGTGTTAGGTCTATTATTCGTTAATTTGAGATCTGTCACTTTGTTATTCACTAACTTAATTTTGTTTCCTGTTTGTCTTTTTTCAATATCGAATTGAATATGACGACTCAGCCTCTGAGATTGGAGATTAAGGTACTATTCAATTGGCGTACTTGAAAATGTTTATATACTTCATATATGTGCCACTAATGCATTTTGTGCTGACTGTAATTATTGCTTCAGAGGAAACTTGCTCAAAGATCAGAAAGGGTAAAGTGTGTGGATCTACATCCTACGGAGCCATGGTAATTGGACTTTCCCTGTCTTTTCAGTTTTAAGCTGATATGTTTGCTTTCCATTTTAAATTATTTTATGTCGGAGTGACGTATTGCTAGTATCACTGTAGCTGCATGTTTTATTTATTTCTTAATACGCTGTGAAATCACACAAAGTGGAGTCTGAGGAGGGTAGAGTATAGCAGACCTTACCCCTACATCATGGACCTAGTTACTTCCAGCTAATTCCTGTTCTTACTTCTCGCAGGATATTGACAAGTTTGTATTCGGGGGCTGTTTGCATCTGGAACTACCAGACCCAGGTATGGGAAGTAACATTGACACTTGTATTTTTTTTCCTGGATTATGGAATTCTCAAATCTTGAAAGATGTGTACTGTATTTTACAAGTGTGTCCTAAATGTGATCTGGTTTGGGGGAAGCTTAGTTCCTATCATACTTGGATGAATAAGCTAGAGTTAACTTTTGATTATTTGGTGTCGTCATGAATGCTCGAAATTGTTTTTATGTATACTTAGTTGGGGAGAATTGGACTTACTATTAGTGCAATCCACTGGAAGAACACACATTTATTCTTTCAACAATCTACTACCGGTTGATATTTGTTGTTTATTTGAAATTTCAAGATACAACAACAACAACGGCGCCTCAAATTCCAAGCAAGTGGGAGTCATTTATATGAGTCCTTACGAACCATGTCGCTCATCTTATGCCAAATAAAAAGTATTACAATTTTCAGCCAAGATAATGTTTTTTTTGGATAAATGAATTTCAAGATTATGGAGCTGAAAAGCCATTGAACTGAAGTGGGAGTGTCTTATGTTCCTTGTATTGTTGCTTTCTCCTACTTTGTCTTCCCTATCTTCATTGCAATAACATCTCTTTTAACCGTGATATTGGACTATGCAAGTTACTTTAGTAGAATTTCTGCCCTCCAATGACTGTAACAAAAAAATTCTTACTGTAATGCCTTGTATTAGGAGTATGTTCAAGTATTCATCATCGGTGAATCACGTTTGGAGTTACTGCTCCTTATTCCTAGTGATATTTCTTACTGTAACAACCCATGTTAGGAGCAGATTGAAGTTTTCACCAAAGATGAATCACGTTAGACTTCAATCTTCTTCACTTATTTAACAATTTGACTTCTTAGCTTACTGTGTATGAGTCATGAGAAGCTATTGAGCAAGTACATAATTATAGAGCAAAAGTTATGTAGTATCATCAACAGAGAGCTAACCCATCTTTACTATTGCAGACAATGGTCAAATCTTTCGAGGCGACTGAATTACCAGGTATGTTGATGGAGTTTGAATAATCTTTGTTTGGCCAGGACTGTGAACTAGCACTCTTTTGCTTTAACTAAGATTCAGTTCTGTTAAACACCTAGTTCATTCTTTGCAGTTAGGTCAGCGAAGTTTATAGCACGCAAGCAATGGGTTGTTGCCGGTGCTGATGATATGTACATTCGTGTATACAATTACAATACCATGGACAAGGTCAAAGTATTCGAAGCGCACACTGATTATATTAGGTGTGTGGCTGTCCATCCTTCTCTACCATATGTGCTGTCATCTTCTGATGACATGCTTATAAAGCTATGGGACTGGGAGAAAGGATGGCTATGCACTCAAATTTTTGAGGGTCATTCCCATTATGTGATGCAAGTCACATTTAATCCCAAAGACACCAATACATTTGCCAGTGCATCTCTTGATCGAACTATAAAGGTAAGGGTTTTTTTCCCTTCTGTATCTTCTTTGCTTCCTCCTGGCATAAACTTGTTCACAACGTTATAACTTTTCATGAACCAATCTGAAATAATTGAATTGATCATGCTTGGTTTTTCAGATTTGGAACCTCGGCTCCCCTGACCCAAACTTCACATTGGATGCGCATCTAAAAGGAGTCAATTGTGTAGACTATTTCACTGGTGGTGACAAACCTTATTTGATCAGTGGTTCTGATGACCACACTGCTAAGGTATGCTGATCATTACTTTCCCATGTTCTGTTAGTTTAGATATAGAGAATCTGAATTAGGTGTTGCTAAACTGTGAAACAGGTCTGGGACTATCAGACTAAAAGTTGTGTCCAGACTCTTGAAGGCCATACACACAATGTCTCCGCCGTATGTTTTCATCCTGAGCTTCCTATTATAATTACGGGGTCTGAAGATGGTACAGTTCGTATATGGCATGCAACCACTTATAGGTAGATTTATACTCAGAACTACTTTATTACTTGGGTAATTTTCTATTGATTTCATATGATAATAGCTAGGCATATACAGTGATATTTTAGCCAATAGGTCAAAAATATATCGTCTCTTTAAGTTGGCTATTTGATCCTAATTTTTTTTCCACTGCATTCTGTATGCAGACTTGAGAACACTTTGAATTATGGTCTTGAAAGAGTTTGGGCAGTTGGTTGCATGAGAAGTTCAAGAAGGTTAGTTTCTATGATAAGTTTATCGCTGTGTCTTTATTCTCTTAGGAAGTCTTGCAATTCCTTTCAATTCTACTTTGCTTTTTATTTTTTACTGTTTTTGTTTCCAAGTAAGAAGAGTTCTTATTATGGATGAAGAAAGAAGGAAATTACTTATTTGTACAACTTGTGGGCATAACAAATAGTAAAATTCTGAAACAAAGTAGCAATGAACTGGATTATCATTTCATCTCATGCTTTGTATTGCATTTATTCATCTAGTTGCAGTTATGCTGATTTGATACATGTGCAGGGTTGTAATAGGTTATGATGAGGGCACTATCATGGTAAAAATTGGCCGAGAAGAACCCGTTGCCAGCATGGATAACAGTGGAAAAATTATATGGGCTAAGCACAATGAAGTTCAAACTGTCAACATCAAGAGTGTTGGGGCGGATTACGAGGTATGTCATCCTGACTTTTCTATTGCTCACTTGTTTCTTTACACTGCTCAATATTGTTTAATTTAGTGCATGTTTGCCTTATCTCTCAGGTTACTGATGGAGAAAGGCTGCCTTTGGCTGTCAAGGAATTGGGAACTTGTGACCTCTATCCACAAGTAAGTGAGCATTATCTTAAAACCAGAATCATGGTGACAACCTGGTCTGCAAGAATTATGTGGTTGCCATAATTTAGCTGTTAGTTACGTATCCTCGTTCTGCTTGGAGTTGATTAGTGTACATGTTTTACAAGTGAGAGGCTAATCCTATATTACCATATCTCTTTTTTGGGGAAAGGCAATACATATACTCGAAACCTCACCCACCATTGATCTGTTTTCTGATTTAATCGTGTGTCGGTGTTTCTATTATCATACTTTATTTAGGGTGCCATTGTCTGTATTGATGCTGTAAAGACTGATGGGTTATTTCCTATTGTTCTGGTCTTTTTTACTTTTTAAATCTTTTTTGGCCTTTGCTTATCTCACTGTTGTCATCTTGTTGTTATTTGAGGTGTCATAAATTTCTTATGCAGTCATCTTCTTGCAGTATAAAGAGTGTGGATAGATTATTGTAGCTTGCAGTTTTTTATCTGCATTGTTTTGGTTTGGAGAAAATATGTAGAGGTCACTTATTAAAATTGCATACTTTTTCTCTTAACAGAGCTTGAAGCATAATCCAAATGGAAGGTTTGTTGTTGTTTGTGGAGATGGAGAGTATATCATATATACTGCTCTAGCATGGAGAAATAGGTCATTTGGTTCAGCTCTGGAATTTGTTTGGTCTTCTGATGGAGAATATGCTGTGAGAGAAAGTACGTCAAGGATTAAGATCTTCAGCAAAAATTTTCAGGTTCACATTCGTCCTCCAACTGGCTGTCTCGAAAGGTTCATTGCATCACGTACCTATCAAAAGGAAAAAAGACAAGCAAATTGATTGCATCATGTGTTACATTTGAGTCTAATGATGGACTGTTTTATATATTTGACTTAAATCAACTGTTTCTTCCCTATCTGCCCCCTTCTATTTAATGTCTTTGTTAGTGGTGAGCTTTTACTTCTTAGAGAGCTTTTTAAGTGAGTTTTTAGTTCACATCCATGCGATGTGTTATAGTGTAATAAACACATTGGCTTCTCTTTCTCGAAGCTGAAACATGCAATGTGCCATGGTTTCTTCTTGTCCATGTGGTGGCCTTAAAGGTGAATTATGTTGATATCTCCAGGAGAAGAAGAGTATCCGCCCTACTTTCTCAGCTGAGCGCATCTATGGAGGTACTCTAATGGCGATGTGCTCAAATGAGTTTATTTGTTTCTATGATTGGGCTGACTGCAGGTTGATACGGCGAATTGATGTTAGTGTGAAGGTGAGAAACATAAGCTTGACTGTGATACACTGTAAGGTTGTTTTTCTCGGAAGTCTTAACTTTGTCTATGTTGTTTTTAAATTTCTTTAGAATCTCTACTGGGCGGACAGTGGCGATCTGGTAGCAATTGCAAGTGATACATCCTTCTACATACTCAAGTATAATGTGAGATCTTCTTTCCAAAATCAAAATTACACGTGCTCAAGTTTGTTATTCTTTTCTTTGCATAATTCTATTAACGGTCATCTGTTTGCTTGTGTCATACCTGCAGCGTGATGTGGTTTCTGCCCATTTAGACAGTGGAAGATCAGTAGATGAGCAGGGCGTAGAAGAAGCTTTTGAACTTCTTTATGAGATAAATGAACGGGTCAGGACCGGAATTTGGGTTGGAGATTGCTTCATTTACAATAATTCTTCCTGGAGACTTAACTACTGTGTTGGTGGTGAGGTATGATTCGTTGTGCATGCTGCTCTTCTTGCACATATATCTGGAGACATCTTATATATGTGTGTGAATCAGCAAAACTATTTTTTGTATGTTTAGGTAACCACAATGTTTCATTTAGACCGGCCTATGTACCTGCTCGGATATCTAGCGAACCAGAGTAGGGTTTTTCTGATTGACAAAGAGTTCAAGTGAGTACTTTCTGGGAGATTCTGATGTTGGAAACTTCAGCTTGAGATAATGATTCTGGGATAAATGAGTTCATTTCCTTTTTGTGTAGTGTCATTGGATATACTTTACTGCTCGGCCTGATTGAGTACAAGACACTTGTGATGCGTGGTGATTGGGACAGAGCAAATGAGGTGCTGCCATCGATTCCTAAGGAGCACCATAATAGGTAAATCACATGTTTAAATGTCTTCAGGAAACATGTCCAATATATTGTGCATGCTTGCAACTTAAATTATCAACATGGTTGTAGTATGTCAATGAACTGGGTTTTCTGGATTATATTAATGTGGCTTTTTTTGTTGTAAAATAGTTCTAGTTCTGGGTTATTTCGGAGTAGCATGCTGCTCTTAGATTCGGAGGGATTGGCATCTGTATTCATTTGTTTGTATAGATAGTAATTTCTGTGGATTATATTAATGTGTCTTTTATACTTCAGATCTGTTTGATTAATCAAATATCTCTTTCCTCTGAAAATTTTATATGTGATGCTTCATGTTGGTATGAGGTATCACATAGTTTCTGCAATATCTAAACCTTCAGAAGGGAGGGGGAGGGGGGGTTGCTTTGTTTTATATGAATTTTCCTAAATAGTCATAAAATGTTTCCCTGCTAGTGTTGCACATTTCTTGGAGTCGCGAGGTATGGTAGAGGAAGCATTAGAAGTTGCAACAGAGCCTGACTACAGATTTGATCTAGCCATACAGCTGGGAAAATTAGATATTGCAAAGGTGGGGGATCCTAACTTTAATGCATGTGGTTTGAACTTCCATATCTTCTTTTAAACTTGTTTGTTTCTTAAGAACCATATGATGTTTAGAAGTGTGGCTTGTGGCTTGGCAGGATATTGCAGTGGTAGCTCAAAGTGAGTCCAAATGGAAGCAGTTGGGTGAACTAGCCATGTCTGCCGGAATGGTAACTGTTACTACCATTAATTGAAATCTTATTTTTGCAGCATACATTTAGTTTTTTTACTGAGAAAATGGATGGTTCAGATTTTAGGAATGATGCCATGGCTTGTACTTGTTTAAACTCTTTCTTTAAGCTGAACTGGGACTACTGCTAAATATATCATTCAGAGCTAAGTGAAATTTTCCAGCTCTTTGTTTTTGTATTCAAGTGGTTGAGGTGCTTTGTAATTTGGTCTCTTCAGATGTCAGTAGTACTTTTCTGAAATGCACGTGTGTATTTTCCTGAGTTCTTCAGAATTTTTGCTCATTTGCTACATTTTGTAGCTGGAGATGGCAGAGGAATGTCTGAAGTATGCCAACGACTTGAGTGGTCTGTTGCTACTCTATTCTTCACTAGGAGATGCTGAAGGAATAACTGAACTAGCAACTCTTGCCAAAGAGCAGGGGAAAAACAATGTCACATTCCTTTGCATGTTCCTTTTGGGTAAAGTTGAGGAATGCATTCAGCTATTGGTTGATAGGTATTTCTTTTTGCTAAAGAACATATTGTTTAGGTGTGTTTTCAATGGTTCAGATTGATATATAGAGTTACAATTTATTTGCAGCAATCGGGTACCTGAGGCTGCTTTTATGGCTAGATCTTATCTGCCAAGTAAGGTTTCTGAAATAGTTGCAATTTGGAAGAAGGACCTCAGTAAGGTCGGTGTTTCTCTGATCTTGAGCTTTCTTATCTGTATACACCTTCTGAATTTCTGGCACTTAGGACCAAATATTTGGCGGGATGGTCACCTGAGAGATCTGTTGGAGCTGCAGAACCATCTAGATTTGATTTTCATTTAACATAGTGGGATTAAGCTTCTTGACCTAAGTTTCTGGTGCAAAGAAACTTCGGAGCTCTTTACCTCTCAGACTTATTATTTACTCCTGTGATAGGCATCAAAAGTAATTTTATTGGACAATTTTTCTGTTCCACTTGCATTTGTGTATTATCTCCATGGAATGACCACAAGAAATATATTTAATGAGTTTTCAGGAAGCAGACTATTCTGTTATGAATTATGTCATGCCTTAATCTAAAGATTTGATATTGAATATAGTTTGAACACAGAAGTGAAGGGTATAATCCCTTCTCAAAAAAAGAAGAGTGAAGGTTGTAATCATTTTTCAATACGGACTATATGGCTTCATGCAGGAACATTGCTATATTATCTGTAGTCCTGTAGCAGAAAATTGTTGTATTTTAATGTGGTTTATTCATGAATGGGTCATTCAGGTTAACCAGAAAGCAGCAGAAGCTTTGGCTGATCCTGAAGAATATCCTAATATGTTTGAGCACTGGCAAGTTGCATGTGCTGTTGAATCTAAAGTTGCAGAAGAAAGGTGTTGATAATGGCTCTATCTACTTCCTATGCATTTCTTCTATACTCTCTCAGCCTACCCTGGTGGCTTTCTGAAAATTCATGGGAGTTCCCCATTTCTTCTTTTCTCTTCTTTCTAGGACAAATTTGCACCAGTTTGGATAACTTTTGTAACTTCTGTTCCAATTCCTATGTAGGGGTGGCTACCCACCAGCAACAGAATATGTTAATCATGCTGATAGATCAACTAACAACCTTGTAGAAGCTTTCAGCCACATGAAAATGGATGAAGAATCACTTGAAAATGGAGATATAGACCATGAGGTATGACATGATGGTTTTTCTATTTGCCTTCTAGTTTGGGTTGATTTAACATTCTGTATACCTTATCAACAACAACAACAACAACAACAACCCAGTAAAATCCCACTAGGTGGGGTCTGGGGAGGGTAGAGTGTACGCAGACCTTGCCACTACCTCGTGCGAGGTAGAGAGGCTGTTTCCGGAAGACCCTCAGCTCAGGTACATCAAATCCAAGTAAAAGGCGAGAAAGACAGTGTATATACATACCATCCAATACGAAAGATAATATACAATCAACAAAGGAAGACAATGACATCAATACACAATGAGAGAAATGAAACACAATAAACAACAAAAGGCTATCGATCTCACAGAAAAGAACTGCAAGTGCAAGACTAGGACTACTACACACGCTACAACCCCTACCCTTGCAAGAAGAGACAACACGCTAGCCCTACTAACCTTCAACCTTAATACGAGACCTCCACTCCTTCCTATCTAGAGTCATGTCTTCGGTAATGTGAAGCTGAGCCAAGTCCTGTCTAATCACCTCTCCCCAATACTTCTTAGGCCTACCTCTACCCCTCCGCGTACCCTCTACAACCAGCCCCTCACACCTCCTCACTGGGGCGTCTGCGCCCCGTCTCTTCACATGACCAAACCATCTCAGTCTCGTTTCCCTCAACTTGTCCACCACAGAGGCCACTCCCACCTTCTCCCGGATAACTTCATTCTTAATCCTATCACTCCTAGTATGTCCACACATCCATCTCAACATCCTCATCTCCGCAACCTGCATTTTCTGAACATGAGAGTTCTTGACTGGCCAACACTCCGCTCCATACAACAAGGCCGGTCTAACTACCACTCTGTAGAACTTACCTTTAAGTCTAGGTGGAATTTTCTTATCACACAAGACTCCAGAGGCAAGCCTCCATTTCATCCACGCAACCCCAATGCGATGTGTGACATCATCATCGATGTCACCACTTCCTTGTATTACAGACCCAAGATACTTAAAACTTTCTTTCTTGGGGATGCTCTGTGTGGCAAGTCTCACTTCTACATCTGCCTCATCCAACGCATCACTGAATTTGCACCCCAAATATTCTGTTTTGGTCCTACTCAACCTGAACCCTTTGGACTCCAGCGTTTGTCTCCACACCTCCAACCTCGCATTAACTCTGTCCCGCGTCTCATCAATCAGTACTATGTCATCCGCAAATAACATACACCATGGGACCTCCTCTTGAATAGACCGCGTCAACTCATCCATCACCAAAGCAAATAGAAAAGGGCTAAGGACTGATCCTTGGTGCAACCCCATCTCAACTGGGAAATGCTCCGAGTCACCTCCAACCGTTCTAACCCGAGTCTTGGCTCCACCGTACATGTCCTTTATCGCCCTAATATAAATCATCGGGACACCTTTAGCCTCCAAGCACCTCCAGAGGACATTCCTCGGTACTTTGTCATAGGCCTTTTCAAGGTCAATGAACACCATATGTAGGTCTCTCTTCCTTTCTCTATATTTTTCTACCAGTCTTCGCATAAGGTGAATGGCTTCGGTCGTCGACCGTCCAGGCATGAATCCAAACTGGTTCTCAGAAATGGACACCCCTCTTCTCACCCTCATCTCCACTACTCTTTCCCAAATCTTCATAGTATGGCTTAGCAACTTGATACCCCTGTAGTTGTTACAGTTCTGGATATCGCCCTTGTTTTTATACAACGGAACCATTGTACTCCACCTCCATTCATCAGGCATCTTTGCTGTCTTAAAAATAACATTAAACAACCCAGTCAACCACTCTATACCTGCCTTGTCCGTGCTCTTCCAAAAATCCACCGGAATCTCATCGGGTCCGGTCGCTCTTCCCCTGCTCATCCTACTAATAGCACGTATAACCTCCTCGCTCCTAAAACACCTGCAGTACCCAAAGTCCCGAAGTCTTTCTGAGTGTGCCAAATCACCCAACACAATGTCTCCGCCCCCTTCTTCATTTAGAAGTTGGTGAAAGTATCTTCGCCATCTCTGCTTAATGGAGGTCTCATCCACCAATACTTTGCCTTCCTCATCCTTGATACACTTTACTTGGTCCAAGTCGCGCGCCTTCCTCTCTCTCGCTTTTGCGAGCCTATACAATTTCTTATCCCCACCTTTGTCCCCCAGCTCGACATACAAGCGCTCGAAAGCTGCCGTCTTAGCCTTCGTAACTGCTAACTTAGCTTCTGTCTTCGCTGTCTTATAGACTTTCTTAAGCGACCGCTTCTCTTCCTCGTCTATGCACTCCACCAACTTTGTGTATGCAGCCTTCTTCGCTTCCACTTTGCCTTGGACTTCCCCATTCCACCACCAATCTCCTTTACGACCTCCAAATTTACCCCTTGATACCCCTAACACCTTTGAAGCAACTTCCCTAATGCAACTAGCTGCTTTATTCCACATGGTGTCCGCATCCCCACTACCACTCCAAGCCCCCATCCCACTCAACTTCTCACCCATCTCCCGAGAAAGGTCAGGAGTCAAGCCACCCCATTTAATCCTCGGTCGATCATATACACTCTTCTTCCTCTTATCCCTCTTAATTTCCAGGTCCATCACCAACAACTTGTGTCGGGTAGTAACATTTTCACTTGGGATAACCTTGCAGTCCTTAACGAGGCCTCTATCACCCTTCCTAAGGAGTAGGTAGTCTATCTGGGTCTTAGCTATCGAGCTACGAAAGGTAACCATGTGGTTCTCCTTCTTCGGAAAGCATGAGTTAGCAATCACCAACTCAAAAGCCTTAGCAAAATCCAGAAGCGCAGTTCCACCCCCATTTCTCTCCCCAAAACCAAAGCCTCCATGAACATCATCAAAGCCATTAGAAATTGCCCCGATATGGCCATTAAAATCTCCACCAATGACAATTTTCTCGGTTATCGGTATACCTCTAACTACCTCATCCAAATCCTCATAAAAGAGCTTTTTGGCCTCCTCTCCCAATCCCACTTGAGGTGCGTAAGCACTAATAACACTCAAAGTACATCCTCCAATGACTAGCTTAATCAACATCAACCTATCACTGATCCTCCTAACCTCCACCACTTGCTCCCTCAAATCCCCGTCAACTAAAATACCCACTCCATTTCTATCCCTAGAGCCTCCTGAGTACCACAACTTAAACCCGTCAACATCCCGAGCCTTGGAACCTACCCATCTAGTCTCTTGGACACAAGCTATATTAATCTTTCTCTTGTTGAGAATTTTCACTAACTCTAAGGACTTCCCCGTTAGCGAACCTATGATCCAAGATCCTACCCTCAATTTATGGGAACCCGTACCCCACCTACCACTATCATGAAAGAAAAAAATAAATAACCATATCTTTGTACATGATAGGAGAAGTCCTTTCTCGATGTTATTTTATACCCATATTGAAACAGCTTAGACTCTATCAATTGGTGTTTGTTGATGCTAACAATTAAATGTCTGTGTCAACTGTTCAGGTTGCAGAACAGAGTGATGATGAGGTGCAAGAACTGGGGCAAGATGATGCACAAAATGAGGGACAAGAAGAGCCCGTAGTTGTGGATGCTGATTCTACTGACAGTGCGGTACTCATTAATGAAACTGAGGCAGAAGAAGAGTGGGGTACGAATACTGAAGGAAAACCGTCAGCCTAAAAGCAATTGGTTGGGCCGGTGTGAAAATCCTAGTTTTGTTGCTGGTGATTATTGAATTTCTCTTATTTGCGTTTTTGACTCCCATATCATATTCTTCTGGTGTTTCTATTGTGTATATCCCTGTTTTTATCATATTGCATTATGTTTGTCTTTAGAAAATGTTGAATAAACTCTGACTTAATGAACTTCACCCTAATTCAAGATAGAAAATTTTTGTAGTCTGTTCCCTTCTTCCCTATGGAGAAGTTTCTAAGCATTGATTTTTTCAAAGCTTTAACTGACAGGAAGAAGTGAGGATTAGAAGATATTTCAGTCCTTTATCGGGATCCTTGATTTGGCATTCATTTGTTTTTTGGCACAAATTAATGCAGTTTTCACCCTGTTTCTTCTTCAACTGTTTTCACCTACTATTATCTAATTATCCCTATTATTGTTTGTTTTGATTTTGTCCCTTTCTCTTCTAACTCTCATACTTACTATTGATGCTTTTGCAGTGCTTACACCACGCCACTAGGCTCATTCAAGACAGTTCCATCTGTATGTAATCATTTCTTATGTTACAATTTTTCTCCATCAACTGTTGAAAGTGTACGTCTGTTTAAGGCTCATCTATATGTAGGCTTGGTTAGGTGTCTCTAGTCTCATAAACCTCATTGTTTTCTGTCTCAAATGGGATAAAGCTGAAGAAATTCTGGCTTTATTATTGAAGCTGAACACTCCTTTGTTCATCCCAAAAAATTTGGTCATATGGCCAGGTTCTCATGGCTTGTCAGGAAATGTAGGATTATTGCGTTCTGTAGCTTAACACCTGCATGATGTTAGTTAAATATTTGAGTATATTGGCATTGGTAGTTGGGCAAGTGGCAACTTGTACTTGCAGAAAGTATCGCTAATCTGTATATTATTAATTTCTTATCTTCAAGGCACATCAGGAAAGCTCTACAGAAGATAGACGTTTTTTTTTTGGTCCTGGCTCATCAAAATATTGATATTTGTTAAATATTGCAGGTTCAATAGGTGTTTCCTTTAAGGGGGCGATCAACGGACTGGGCATGTCTGTTCTGCAAGTGGTGTGATTTTGTAGCAATGAGTTTTGTAGGCATACTGGACATATGTTTCCAGCTTCGTTGTTAGCTTTAGTCACTCATAGTTGCTTTATCATATTCTTTTGAGGCATACGTTTTTCACCCTTCAATATCTTCATATGTCATTGTCCACTGTAGAAACACTATAAGCCATATATGGAAGTGGAGGTAATGCAGATGTGTGCTCAAAAACTGCAATCTGAAGAAATGAAAATGATAATCAGGATATTTTGTTTGGTGCATTACTGTGGAACGATGGAAAGAAAGAAGAAACATTACAAGGATAGGAAAGACTATTAATATGCCTTTTATATGACAGATATAAACTCGCTTGTTTCAGTTTAAGATCTATGTGAGTGGTATCAATTAATCAAGAATATGTTTAGCCATGTTAATATGTATACTTTAGATGTTATATTTTCTATATCTTCAAAAGACAGAAAGGACCTAGCCAAAGAGTTCCTTTGGTGATGACAACTCATTAAAATAGCATGTAAACGCACAAGTTCAAAGGTACCTTAAAATTACATCAGAAAGCTGGTAGATTGCTGATTCATATAACTATTTCGTCTCTTTACATGCTCCATTCCATGAGGTTGAGTATGATAAATATTTACCCGTATTTGGTATTCTATTATAATAAAAATCAAGCAATTTAGCATCATCAGTTATAAACTAAAGTAAAAATATGTATAACCATAATTTAATGATTAATGCGTGTATAAAACATATATCTTGTATCATGTATATATTGACTTTATATCAATACTAGATGGTTGCTGATAACTAAGAGAAAATCACACCCTTAACTTATGCGCTCTTTTTTGAAGCTGTAGAAATGTATTGTAAGAAAGAGGGACAACTGAAATGGACAAGAAACTGAAATTCTGAAGATGGTAGGAATTGAAAATGAAAGAAAGATTTCATTTATTAGTGTCTATGCCTTTGAGTTTTGCAATATAGATTTCTTTTTTTCTGGTGGATAATGAGAAAAAGTTACCAATTCTATCACTCCAAAAAAAAAAGGCTAAAAATTTATCTGGACCAAAAATTCACAACAGGTGTACAAGGATATAGCATAATACCAAATGGAGAAAAAGGAAAAAAGAATACAGATGAACGCACACACATGAGAGCATTAAGTTGCATAGCCCAAATTGACAATAGTTGCAACTTGCAACAATGAAGATAACATAATATATCGGCGTTTTCTTCTTGTTCTTAATGATACCATGCGTCTCCTTTTGTGTGTTTCCATTGGAGCGTGTGGTCGCACCTCATTAAAAAAAAGTGAAGCACATATCATTCATTATATACTCAGGCTCAGCCATCTCTATATTTTTAAGTAGGTCTACTAAACACCATCCTCCTTCTTTCCCATGGACAGATATTTTGGGATAGAAACTGGCCATGGAGGAAGCACGTACAAGAATGCTAACCTCGGAGGTACTTGTGCATACCAGGACAACCATCCTGTTGATTCGTAAAAGTATTCAGTAGCGACTGGATTACCATGAGCCTCCAATTTTAAAGTCTTGACATTGTATGTGACAATATAGGCCCCTAAGCTCAGGCAAACAATGTTGCCATCAAATGGATGGAAGGCAAGAGGAGCAGGACATGATCCAGTTAACCCCTGGCTAGTTAAGATATCATCAAAGAAGATATCAGTAACCTTAGTTCTGTGCAGCAAAGACCAAGTAGCAGAGTCATAATCATCAAGAACCCATAGAGAGAAACCTGAAAATCCAAAGGGATCCGAGGGTGCTAGAGACACCTCAAAGTACCTCAATCGACCCTGATGCACATTACACAGGCTATACAATCCATTGTTTTTGTAGTCGTTACATTGCTTGTCAATGTCAGATGGAAGTCCAATGATGCGGCACTGATTGGAATCCCTGCAAGGATCACATGCCACAATCCCAAGCCAACGGTCAATCCAATGCAACATTCCACTGAAGGAAAAAGGCATCCTCAGCCAGGCAATCTGAATTGCTTGGTCACTGTGCACAACAACTCTCCTCCAGCTCCCAGTTTCAGAACAGAATATCTCAAACTCGAGGTTATGCCACTCCCATAATTGACAACCAAATCGCACCACTTTATAGTTCTTCAATGTCCCCCTTCAATTTGGGTTAGAAAACCAGTACTGACAAACCGAAAGCACAAAAAAGGTGGAGGAAGGGCAACACACTGATGTGTGATAGGGTTATACAAGTGATAATCTGTCATGTGATTGATGCTATTCTCCATAAACACAATTCGTCCATACAACACTAGTCCATCGCTAACTGCTACGATATCATAGCGTTCGCGCCAAGAAGATCGTTGAGGAAGAGGAAGATAAAGATAACGTGAGAAAATAGGGTACTCAATCAGATCATTCTCGTCTGCAGATAACATGTCATCCAGCATTAAAGGGGGATCAGGACAGAACTTTGTGCCCTTAACATGCAGACGGTGACTAAGCACGGTCCACGGTTGTGGCTTATGTAGGGCTGGGCGTTCGGTCGGTTCGGTTTGTAAATTTCGGTTTGGTTTTTCGGTTGGCAAAAATATGAAACCAAACCAAACTGAAATAAATTCAGTTCGGTTCGGTTATTACAATTTCGGTTTGGTTTTCGGTTTAACCAAATTTAATTAATAGTGTCATGTGGGTTGTGGCTGTGTTGCAGGTTGCGGTTCAAATAATACAACAATCAACAAACTTCTATAACAATCAACACTCAACAACTCTCCAAACTCCAACAATCTATGCCATACAATTTTGCTTTTGCTCTCCAAACTCACCTAGTTGATATTCTCTATATAGAAGCATTAACCTTCGAGTCGCGAGCACTGAGCAGTGGCGGGCTGCGACCTGCGAGCACTCAGCGAGGAGCCAAGGAGTAGCGGCTGGCCTAAGACTTTAGAGATGACGGACGAGAGACGAGAGACGAGAGACGAGAGACGAGAGACGAGAGACGAGAGACGAGAGACGAGAGACGAGAGACGAGAGACGAGAGACGAGAGACGAGAGACGAGAGACGAGAGACGAGAGACGAGAGACGAGAGACGAGAGACGAGAGACGAGAGACGAGAGACGAGAGACGAGAGACGAGAGACGAGAGACGAGAGACGAGAGACGAGAGACGAGAGACGAGAGACGAGAG